ATAGATAGATAGATAGATAGATAGATAGATAGATAGATAGATAGATAGATAGATAGATAGATAGATAGATAGATACCGGGTAAAGCAGCAGCATCCGTTCACAATAAAACAATATATTGCTCTGCACCAATAACAATAGTAGTAGTGGTAATAATGTTGCAATGAAAATAAAATATGATTCTGTGCAGGTAAATTACAATGAGTTGAGTCAAATTAAGTCATTTCCAGTAGTGTGCATAATGTGCGTGTGTAATAAATATTGTAAAGGGCAGATATTTACAGTTAGTGTTACAGTACAGAAAAAAAGKTGTYCAATAGCCACAAGATTGTTATTTAGGTYCTGACTGAGAAACAGAATTGGTTGTTGTGCAAACAAGCATGAATACTTATCGAGTTTGTTGGGAGCACTGCTGSTTATAGAGTCTAACAGCTGCTGGGAGGAATGATCTGCAGTGGCGCTCCTTTGTGCATTTAGGATACAGCAGTCTGRCACTGAAGGAGCTCTGCAGATCAGCAACAGTTCCGTGGGGTGGGAGACATTCTCCGTCATTGATATTTTAGCTAGACATGTACAGTATATGTATGTGTATGTATATACACACACACACACACAAACACACCCCAGAGAAGTTCAGTAGTGGAGGGTTTGTGTGTGCATGTATGCACAGTGACCCACTCTATCCCATGGACTATAGATATTATCAGTTAGCGTTAGCTTCTACTAATTTTCTTACCCGTTTAGTGGTTTAGCATTTGTAAAGCTAACTTTTTGGCTAGCTGTGCCCATCATGGGACACTAGAGTTCAGTTTCCACCAACGATGAATGATTACAAATTAAGTTTTAAGTTAAATGGAAAAACATGACCATCTCAAGAGACAAATACAGTTTCCATGAACAAAAAATGCACATCAATAGCTTTCTGCTCACCTGAAAAGATTCCCTTAAAGCGATTCTTGTTAATATTCAGATTTAAAAGGTGAATTTTGTAAGATAAAGCTTCAGCTGTCTGCTCAGAATCTGTTGAGGGTCTGGTCCCAACACCGACACGATGACAGTGTGGCACCATTACTGGCTGGAGAACAATCGCTGGCTGTCACGGCCCTGACCAACATCCTCCGTCTGTCACACGGCTTCCCAAACATCTGGGCCAAGTTAACCCCAGRGCCGCGGCTACAAACAGAACCAGATAAAGGTCGCCGGGGCGGTTTGGGTTCAACCAAAGATGATGACCTTAATGCTGCTTTCTGTTATTTAATTTGGGAGATGATGTCATGTAAGTGCTTGTCCATCACTTTAGAAAACAGGCACCTCATCAGTTCATTTCTTCACCTTAATTCTGAGTCATTCGCTGCCRTTCCTGCATCAATAATGAACATTAGAGTGAGCAGAACCCCCCTCCTTATACAATCTCATCAGCCACAAGAATCAATARGATAAAAGGGGCACAAGGACAAAAAACAATCACTGGGAAATGATCTGATGTTTGAAGTATCTCCTGCAGCGGCCTTGTGCTAAGCTGGATTTTAACGCTGAAAATTACCCAAACTTGTCAGAAATGCTTGAAAAGACTTGAAGGACGGTTTTCAAATCTCTTAACATGAACCAGATTAAAAACTGTCTTTGAGGACAAACAAAATGATGAATGTTTTGGATTTGTTTCTTTTAGAACKGATACGCTGCAGTAAAGATAAAATAAATGACTAAATGGAAAGTTTAGCAGATAATCTGGAAGGTTTTAAAAATCCACAATAAAAAAAGACAAAATAACCAAACAGCTGCAGGAAACAACTTTTGTTTGTGATATGACCACTGCACATCTATTCTAACATCTTTCAGCTGGTTTATTTGTATTTTCAGAACATTATTGGCCTGGTGGTACCACTTCAGCTGATGCACACCGTTCCTTTTATGCCTGCCATTTCTCATAAAACTTACTAAAAATAAACAAAAACCAAAACCTGGTCACTCAAACTGATAAATTAACCAAATCCTAAATCAAGCATAGAAGTAAAACAAAGAAAATCTGCATAAAAAATGTGCTTGTGATGTCAAAAAAGTGACCAGAAGACAAACAAAAAAATAAATAAAGCACAAAAAATTAGCTTTCATTACTAGATTTTTCACTGCATAACTGTACGGCAGAAGTGAATTTTTAAGTGCTTTATTTGCTTCTTCAAGTTCTAAACAGTAAAAACTATAGATTTTTAAAAAATGTGCTTGCATTTTTTTAATTGACTAAACCAATCGTTTGTAAAATTTAGTTGTTTTTGATTTAAAAAAACGAGTTAAAGACTGACGTAGGAACCTGACTGTGGTGTTTTAACTAATCTGATGGACAGATTAAAGAAACAGGTGCCTGGATTACAAACGGCCTCTGACGGCCTCCTGGTCAGCAAGAGCTTAAAAAAAACTGGGGGTGGATCAGAGAGACGGAAATCCTTCAACACAAGTTGAAGGAAGGGTAAAGAGGAGAGAGCAAGCAGCAGAGAGGATGGAGGGGGAAAACGGAGCAGCGATGGACGTTTGTGTCAAAAAAAAAGGCACAGAAAGGAACTAAAAGGAGGGGTTGGTTTGAGTATAGAGGTCAGACAGAGGTCAAACCTGCACCGCTCAACGAGAGCTCCTACTGTCCTCATGTGGACATGTTAAATCTTTCCGTCCTGCTGTGAGACACGTCCTTCCTGCAGTCAAATCCAGGTCAAACAGGAGACAGCTCCACCACCTTCATCCCCTCCCCCCACAACACTGYAGACAATGTTCAAGAAGAAACCCGTGGTTTAAAAATAGAACCTGCTTAGTGCTGCTTCTTTTTATTCKCAGGCAGGAAACAAAATGAAGGTTTATGAGTTTAATTTTTTTAAACTATCGTTAGCTTTTCTCCAGCCTGTTGTTCACGGAGCAAGAGGTGTGTTTGTTCGTCTCTGTTAACAAAATATCTCCTGAACTGCTGAATGGACAATAACCGTCAGATCTACATTTGATTCAGTTTAAGGCTGAACCTGACTGAAGAGGTTTCCCACAGCTAATCAAGCTTAATGAACCCAAAAAAAAAACAACGGTTGCTCATTCGATTCCACACATATTGAGCTGAAACCTGTGTGGCAGCTGCTGAGTCTTACACTTAAAGTGCCCGTGACACAAAGATTTTTTGTAATAAATATAAAAGGCATTTTTGGAAGGATAACATTAACAACATATTTCAAAACAATGTTCACGCTGCTGACATGAACAGTTGCTGAGATATTCACATGTGAAGTAACAGCAAGTGATGTAAAAGAGGAACGTCTGCATGGAACAGAGCATTTTAACAATACAAACTGTAGAGAATAATCTYATGTTTCTTTATTACAGTCACTATCAGAGAGAAATGAAGAGTCAGAGRTCAAATAATACTGTTTCAATAAACAAAAAATAAGTTATTTTTACCCTATGATGTCACTTCCTGTTTCATTTTTGCCAAGTTCCAAGGACAATATGACATTTATGTGACAACATTGGTAAAATCATGTGTATTATACCAGGTTTCTTAAAAATAAAGACGTTTTCTT